CCGGACGGACGGCCGGGTCTAGCCAGACGGAATTGTGGGGTGATAGCATTGTGTTCCCATTATCCCTTTTTCTAAAGATTCTCTTCTGGGGTGATGTTTTTCTATTGTGAAAATAGTGGGGTGATGTGTCCTGAAAGGAACATCACCCCACACGGGGGGTATGGTCAAGGGCGGATCCAGAACACAATTTTGGGGGGGGGGGCAAAAACAATTTTGGACCCCCAAAAAAGTGGGTCAAAAAAATTACGGCGTGGGGTTCGGGGCCCGCTTAAGGGCCCCGAATTTTTTTTGGATTCTAGATGCTCTGTGATGCGATCTGAGGCAATTTCTGACCACTTTAACCAATGATTTTTTGAGGAAAAGGTGGTGGTGTACTCATTGCCTGCCTTTATTGCGATGTCACATAAAAAAAAAAAAAATGGTCTCGTTTTGGGGGGGCCATGGCCCCCTTTGGCCCCCCCCCCCGGATCCGCCCTTGGGTATGGTCAGAACGGACCGACGGACATACGGACGTCCGGGCAGCTTTGTTTCCGGATGAAAACTTGAGTTAGAAATGTTGTTTGGGATTGTAACTTCGGAAGGGGGTTGCCCTTAGGAGTAGGCAAGTTGGGATTGGCTTTGGGGTCAAAAGGTCAAAGGTCAAGGTCACCGTGGTGAGTTAAGGGTAAATGGTTTCCGGATGATAACTTGAGTTGGAAATGAGATTTTGGTGTCTAACTTTGGTACGGGGTTGCCCTTGGGAGTAGGCAAGTGGGATTGGTTTGGGGGTCAAAAGGTCAAAGGGCAAGGTCACTGTGGTCATGGGCGTCGCGAGGGGGGGGGCAAGGAGGGCACTTGCCCCCCCCCTGGAAAAGCAAAAAAAGGAGAGCAAAAAGAAAAGAAAAAAAAAGAAAAAGAGGCGCGAAGACAAAGTGGTGTAAATTTAATGAGTTGGGGGGGGGGCAAAATGTCCCTGCCCCCCTCTAAAACTGATAAATCGAGAATGTGTTGAGAAATACAAGCATTTTTTGGCAAAAAAATTTTTTGCCCCCATCTAGAAAAAATCCTGGCGACGCCCATGACTGTGGTGAGTTAAAGGTAAATGGTTTCCGGATGATAACTTGAGTTGGAAATGAGATTTTGGTGTCTAACTTTGGTAGGGGGTTGCCCTTGGGAGTAGGCAAGTTGGATTGGTTTTGGGGTCAAAAGGTCAAGGTCACTGTGGTGAGTTAAAGGTAAATAGTTTCCGGATGATAATTCGAGTTGGAAATGAGATTTTGGTGTCTTACTTAGGTCGGGGGTTGCCCTTGGGTACAGGCAAGTTGGGATTGGTTTTGGGGTCAAAAGGTCAAAGGTCAAGGTCACCGTGGTGAGTTAAAAGTAAATGGTTTCCTGATGATAACTTGAGTTAGAAATGAAATTTTGGTGTCTAAATTCGGTAGGGGTTTGCCAAAAAAGTATAGGCATGATGGGATTGGTTCTGAGGTCAAGGGTCAAGGTCACCATGTTCAATTAAAGGTTAATGGTTTCCGGATCACAACTTGACTCTGGCTGAGGGGTTTCAACAGCAACGCTGTTATTTTATACCCCTGGGTTCACCCGGTAGCCCAGCCCAAATACAAATTCACTCCGCCATACAATAATGCCTAGGTTCAACTGACCAATCAGCGATCAGGATTCGCCTGCATGCAAAGTGTGGGTGACTCGGTGTTACACAGTCATTATACATAGAGTGATTGCATTGCATTTGACACGTACACTTTGGGCTCCGTAATATGCATACATGTACGGAGAAGACGCAGCATCTATTATGCTTTTCTACAATCATTTCGTCAGTAACTTTTTGGGTAGCTGCAAAAATGATGTACTCCACCTTTAAATATTAAAAGATCTCATTAGTCAGACAAATATTCCTGACACAAATAGAAATATGACTCTCTTGGACTACGATGTAACTGACCACCAATATTTATTATTTATTACATGCTAAATGTTCCATCACCTAAAATATACATTCTAAATTCAAATAAAACCACCTTGCAGAACTTCAGAATCTGAGTACACACAATATATTTTTAATTGCACGGCAAAGAACTTGAGTAAACCGTGACTATTTTCCAAATGATCATTTTATTTGTGTTTCTCGTAATTAATTGTCAGGTAAATTTATTGTCGAAGGTCCTTTTGGTAAACTGGATTGTGCTTAAGACAAAGAAACGTACTTTCAACAGTAATTCTATTACAGGGTGATACACTAAGTTCTTGTCTAGCAAGCAGGTAGGAATCAACCTCGTCCCCAGCGTGTCGAGCAGTACGCGCCCAGCTCTTCTTGGAAACGTATGCAAATTAGGGATAGTCTCGTGACTGCCTGTTTTTTTACATTAGCGGGGTTTTTTGTATGCGGCGTCTGGGGTAAAAACACAATCATTTTGTTGTGGCGTGAGTTACGTAAACACTTCTTTTTTTTCAAAGTTGGGAAATAACAACACCAGGTACACGATATAAATCTATTATTTGCAAATTGCGGTATCGAATCAGAATACAGGAGGAAAGTTTCCTATCCAGGGATTACAATTGGAAACAAGGTTGAAAATACAGCATTCTTGTCCTGGGGACAAGGTTGGGTAGGCCTACACACTTTTCGATATTGTGTTATTATGCCATTTAGCAGGTAAGAGCTTTTCTCCTCTTTAAACACAAAATTAACTCATTAAACGCATGTATACGAAAATATACCAAAAGATATATTTTCTTAGAATTATTCAATTCAAAAATTAAAATTTGTGATTATATTTCAGATTTAAATGGAACGATACAGGTGTTAAAATAGGCCTACAGTCTATAGTAATTGAATGATACGCATATCAAATGTCCCCCCCCCCCCGCCCCAGGTCCGATGTCGGGGTTTTTCATGCTCCAGGGTGGGGATTTTGGTCACTCAAAACTCTCTCAAAACATTGTTACCATTGGCGTACTACATGGAAAGTCAATCACTAGTGCGCCACATGAATGACAGAGATTGCCACTTAAACTTTGCCCGAGGGGTGGGGATTTTGCTACTTCAAAAGTGACAATCCCCACATCTTGGGTGGGGCAGCCCGGGGGTGGGGGAAGCAATTGATAGGCGCATATAAATACCAAAAGTAACCAACACCGTATTGCCTAACGAAACCGTTAAACCCTTTTAATTTGATACATTTCCGCTTTAAGGTAGGTATTACTTCAATATTTATAATAAAAATATGTGTGTATAAAGTTAAAGTAAGAGCGGATCTAGAACCAAATTTTTAGGGGGGGGGGTGGCCGTTGCTAAGCAGGGAGGTCCTATATAAACCTATGGCACAAACCTATGGTGGTATGGAACCAGTCAAGCTCTAAAATGTTTTTTTTTTCTTCCTTATTTTTCCAAGATTAAATGATCACCGATTCACCTATAAATGCATAGAATTTAAGAACTATAATTTGTAAATAAAATTCACTTTTTTAAACTTTTCATCGAAATAGGGAATAATCTTTGAATTTATGTCAGGATTCCAGTCATCAGGCACGGTGAAACAGTTGTGATTGGTCAGTGTTTGGAGGCGTGACCTCGACATCTTGATTGTGATTGGTCAATATCGTGATATTAATATTCATGAGTTACAAAACTGGTCTTTAAAAGGGATTTCCCCCAAACTTTCCTCATTGTATAGGCTTTAAAGAATTTTAAAAAAAAAGAAAACGATAATATTAAATTACCAGTGCAACAATGTGTGAAATGTGTGAATGCACTAAATTCCTGATATAAAAAGAAGAGGAGTTAAATGAAATAAGTTGCAACTTGTACTTGGCCCATAGGTTTGCGTAGTCAGGTTCCCAGACCAAAAGATTTTGACTATTTCTGATGAATCTGAGGTTAGAAAAAAACCTCTAATAATACAAACATACACGTCACGGGACTAAAACGGGCGCATTTTCATAGTGCATGGTGTAACGGCACTGAAAATCCAGCCTAAATCGTGTTTTTTTCTTGGGGGTATCCCCCCCTGGATCTGGCCTTATTCGGCTTTATTTTCAACGCCGTTTTCACGATACAACCAAAATCTTGTAGATTAGGAATATCTTCAAATTAGGTTTTGCCCTTCACCGACGTTTTAAACACTGTATACTCAGTGTGTTATAATAGGAATATCTTGTTATAACAATTGCAAAATGTCTCTCCAAGTTTGAGAAATCTGCCTCTGGAAAAGTGTACACTGTTTTGAACCACTCTGTTTAAGGTCATCAAATTACATGTATTTAATCCATGGCGGGATCAGGATCTATATCATTGTCTATGGGAGGTCAGAGTCCGGTGGCTTAGAGCTAATTTTCGGCAAGATCGTGACCCGCCGGATTAAAGCACCAAATTTGGTACACACGTTTGAATACCTCTTGACCAAATTTTCAAACTAGCTCTATTTTATCGTTTTCATCATTGAGAAACATACTATTTGGCATGATAAGGTATGCACATTTATAGGCATTTAGGTTTTAGCGACTCGCGATTTTCAAGTTTGGTCCAAAGTACACTTGAGCTTTCATTGAATGAAAAACGTTCTTGTAAATCTTTTGCTTTGTGAATTGTGAATTAATCACACACAAGGTGTAGGACAACATTTCAGCATAGGCAAAATCAATCAATGAGCACAATAGGGTGCTAATAATTATGCAAATGAAAAAACTTTGACATATGTCATGACAGGTATATTCGCATCCTCCATATACATGTACACTGTATATAAATGTAGATTTACGTATAGGCCTACCGTGCCACCGTGAAACAATGACACCCAAGGAATAAACATGGTAACTGGAACGACCAATAGATTTTCAGAAGAGAAAACATAATGGACTACCAGAAACTGACCATTCACTTTCATGCCTTGTGAATTAAAAAGTGTTATATATATATACAATACATACTTATACAGACATAATCAGCTATAAAATCATAATTGAAATCAAACTAACGTTGTAATTAAGATAATTAATAAACCACGTATAATTATGCTTGCTAGCATCCATGTGCCGGAGTAGTGATGCGAAAAAAGAACAAAGTTCCCTTTTCTATAACTTTAACATAAAAGAAAGCAAACTTTCTAAAAAGTGCTGAGTCATCATTTTTGGAAATGGAATAAGCTCCCCTATTTTGTTAGGCAAAGGTTTTTGATGGAACTTTTTCTAAAATGTGAGGTCTTATAATTGTCAGGCATCCTTTTATGCTATTCAGAATTAAAAATTTCAGACTTTTGTCGAAATTTACTACAACTACATACCGTATTATACACCATGTGACCTAGCTTTGACCTTGGTCTGACCTTGACCCAAGCCGCCAAAATCGGGCACCCCCCTCTAGAATGACTTCTTGGGACCTTACAGTAAAGTGTACCAAATTTGGCGCTTTAATCCGGCGGGTCATGATGTTTTCCTTAAGAGGCAGGCGGAGGCGGAGGCAGAGGTGGAGCCGGAGCAGGTGATTCCGTAGTCGTTGGAATTTCCGTCGTTGTTGACAACTCAGTCGTCGTGGGAATTTCCGTTGTCGGTAATTCCGTAGTCAGAATTTCCGTGGTTGTTGACAGCTCAGTCGTCGTGGGAATTTCCGTTGTTGTCGGTAATTCCGTAGTCGTTGGAATTTCCGTCGTTGTTGACAACTCAGTCGTCGTGGGAAATTCCGTAGTTGTCTGTGATTCCGTAGTCGTTGGAATTTCCGTGGTTGTCGATGATTCCGTAGTAGTTGGCACCTCAGTCGTGGGTTTTACCGTGGTTGTCGGCAACTCGGTCGTGGGTTTTACCGGCGTGGTTGTCGGCAACTCGGTCGTGGGTTTTACCGTGGTTGTTGGTAACTCGGTCGTCGGTGTCACTGTGGTTGTTGGCAACTCGGTCGTCGGTGTTACCGTGGTTACTGGCAACACGGACGTCATTTGCTTTGAGGTGGTACCTGGCAGAGCAGCTACCGTGGGATTCACCGAACTGGTTGTGGTAATAATTCCCGCAGACATTGCACTTGTCAACGCCATACCTGTGGTAGTGACGGACTGTGTCGGTATCGCAATGGTGGTTGGGGCTTAAATAGAAAAGAAAATTAGCAAGGTATACCGTTACCAGGGGCAACCCAATAGTACTTAAAATACTGAGATGGTTGTTTTTCTTCGTTACAGAAATTGCTAGATCAACAGCGCATCGTGATTTGCCCTCGTGGCTAAAACATGCTCGTCGAATCCTGGAATTACCTACCTTGGCATGATGGTGGTAGGAAGCCGACGGGACAGGTGCAAGCACACACGTCGATCGCTCTGTTCACCGTTCCTCCGTTGAAACAGTACAGATTACACACTGAAACAGGGACATAATTTAAACCACAAAAAGGCGCATATTTATTCCAGATGGACATGCCAGTATTAAAGGAACAGAACAAAAACATAACATTACATTGGATACACCTATTGGATGCCCCGTCTGTGTCTGAAATAACTGAAAAGAATGTTGAGCGCTCCTCGTCGACCAGCTCAGTTTCCAAGCTTGCCTTTGTCTCGTTTCTACTTCCATTTCTGGGTAAGCCCTCAAAGGAGGAGCACACTTCTATCTAAAGGAGTTTTTATCTAACCTGCAACGCTGTTTGCAAAGACTCGGAGGCTTGACTTATCGACTGGAAGGCAGAGGCGTAAATCTGTGCCGGCGAGCGGGGGACGGGGGATGACCAAAATACTAAAATGGCTGGACACCACATTACACAATGGGCGCTCTTCAGGGTAAGATTTATATCATATATACTCACGCTTACCTTTTTAAAGCTTTTGTACTTTGTTTCTCCACTTTCCAGTGCTACTGAATACTGTTTAGTTGTTTGGACGTTAGAAAAATACATTATAATCCGTTTTTTTTTTTTTACAAAACTGTGGGTGGGGGGACGATTCAATAGCACATCCCCCTGGTCAAAAGTGTGGGGGATATAACCCCCCCCCCCCATCCTCCCGGGATTTACGCCCCTGCTGGAAGAACAAAACAATCCTCACTCCGATCAAGGAGAAAGGTTTGCCGTTGCAAGACTTACCATCAAAGATGACGAGCGTGGCCGGCACAAACACAAATTGGCCGAGGTTGCCGGTCTGCGCCTGTTCCTCCAGCTTTTCTCGGAAGGTCTCTTTGAAGGGTATGTCGGCGTTCGTTCCTTGCGTGTATATACATTCAAAACGGATCCCGACACTGCCCTCCCTTTAAAAATTACATTAGTAATGTTTTCATGTAACGTTTTTTAAGATCACCCCATCCTTCTTGGATTTTTTTTTTTTGGGGGGGGGGTAAACAACAAGATACTGATTTTTCTATCATCCTCTTTGCCATCACAGGTAATCCACGTTGGAGAGAAGCATCTTGTGATTAAGTGTCTTGTCTAGGAACAAAGATCTTTCCCCTTCACATTATGTATATTGTACGTTTTCGAGGAACTATCTTTTACAAGAGTGGGCTTCCGAGACAATAGAGAATGGAAACTATTTATCAGTATTGAAGAGAAGATCAAGACATGGCAGTTTTGCGCAAAATGTTGTCTCATAAAATAGGCTCTTCTGGATCATCTTGCTCAGCTTAAAAATGGCCTCAAGGACGTTGAGACTTATTGTATGTGAAATTGGTGTTTTAAAGACATAGCTAGACTGAATCCTGAATGATCTGAGTTGCAACTTACGTTACTTCGTGTACGACGGTTTCCTGATAAGCCGCATCATTCCTGAGAAGGTTATCCATCTTGCGAAAAACAAACCGGGGAAGACAAATAACGTCAATTCCACTTATAAACAAGGTTGCTCCTTGTTTATCCAAGATAAACTATGTCTTTGTTATCCATTACTTTCCATTCACAAATTCATCCTAATTTAAAAAAAATTAGTGGAAAACATTCGATCCCGCTTTAGGTTACCAGTACAAAAGTTACGGCGCCCTCTCTTGATTTAAGGCGCTATAAGTTGATATAATTGTATCAACTCGTCTGAGAAAAAAAATCGTTTCCGACAGTTGGCATCTGAAACGATCATTTTCTTTTTCATTAACCCGACAGGAAACGTACGTAAGCCTACACTTTTGCATATAATCAAATGCCTTGTATGTATACAAAGATGAGTCATCAGGGGGTATCAGTGGCGTAGCCAGAAAGGGGGGGGGGTGTTTAAGGTGTTTTAAACCCCCCCCCCCCCAAAAAAAAAAATTGTAATGTGAGCCCCTTTTTTGACGAGTCCCCTTTTTTTGCAAATTTTGAAGAGTGCCCCATATGAAGATCGTGTCCAGTACCCCCCCCCCCCCCCCACCCTTCCCGCTTTTTGATTTTACGGAGGCCGGGTGACCGGTTAATGGCAAAACTGCCCCTCTCTCAACCCCCACCAAATAAAATTGACCTTGCTATACGCCACTGGGTAGGCCTACCTCCGCGATGAAATTTTGAACCAAGTCCTGGTACTCCACCGAAGTTGGGTCATTGTAAGCGGGATTGTAGTCGAGGTCAAAGGTCACGATCCCGCCGACAAACTCTGTGATAACAAAAAAGCTACGATCATATTCTGGATCTCATGATCTTATAATACTCTGATTGCTCTTGATAAAACGATGATGAAATGTGTAATTTAAAGAGGTTGTGGAATGCTCAAAAACATTTCCGTCATTTTTTGGGTATATGTAGCCTAAGGTGTGACGAAATAAAAACGACTATTGTTTCCGTCATGAAATGAGTACAAAGGGTACTTTTGAGAGCTATTTTTCAGGTCCTGTTTCGACCCGAACGTGCAATTTGTGTAAAAGTCGTCGTTGCGGGCAGCAAACAAAACACAGTAAATCGTGACGTAATAAACAGGACTCGTTTTATGCTTCTCTGCATCGGGAGTCCTGTTTATTACGTCACGATTTACTGTGTTTTGTTTGCTGCCCGCAACGACGACTTTTACACAAATTGCACGTTCGGGTCGAAACAGGCATGACAGGACTTGAAAAACAGCTCTCAAAAGTACCTTTTGTACTCATTTAATTACAGAAACAATAGTCTTTTTATTTCATCACACCTTAGGCTACATTTACAAGAAGAATGACGGAAATGTCCTCGAGCATTCCACAACCTCTTTAATATAGCTCTATGGAAAAAAACAGACACTTTAATTACTATCCCTATAATACAGTCGTTGTCCGCTTCCAATACGTTAACCACCGTTTTTGTGCAGAAATTGGCCACATCATGCTCGACTTCTCTTCCGGAATTTCCTACATACCGTACACGCAAAGTGGCGTAACTCCGTGTCAGCGAGTGGCGAATTGGGGGATGACCAAAAATCTTAAAATTACTCGGCCGTGGACATTCGAAAAGCTGGGGAGGGTGCTTGTTCTCAGATTTTCTTAATTTTGTAATACATTTAGATTATCGGACACTTCAACATAACCATAAATCGGCATTTCTTTGTGTTTCACTACAAAAATGTACGGGGGGGAATTGATTCACTTGACCTGTCGCCGTTTGCGAGATAGCCACGCCCCTTAGACAACCCTGTGGAATTTTGTACGTTCAGTTTTGTTTGTCTCAGATTTTGCGCGTTCCGCGTTCCTTTGTACATCATGTAATTGGACAATATTTCACAAGCTGCGTGCCCATCCTCTTGTCAAAATGTGTGAGGGATATATAGTTGAAATCCGACGACCAGAATTAGAATTTTTTATTGCGTTACGTGTCACGCTAACGCGGGGATTTACGCCCATTGTACATGCCTACGTTTGGTGAAGTAGACTAAATACTACAACGTAGATCTGTGCGGTTCCTGACACTGACCCAGCATGCCGCTTCACTGCTTCCTCAAGGCCTATACCTTTTCGAAATTCCAGAAGCGCTCATGCAAAGGACTGATTCAGGCTCAAACAGTTTCGTTTTTTATTTTTGAATAAAGGCGTAACGGCCACAGGTATGTCGAAAAAGATAGATGCAGAGGCCGTGTTGGCCGGGTCAACTTGACTTTTGTGCCACCGGGCTCAGTCTTCCGGGGGAAAAATTGAAAGGATTTGGAATAATAGTGAGAGCTGGAACGCCAGCACGAACTTTTATCAAAGGGTCGGCCTACAAGTTATGACAACAGTTGAGTAGGCGTAAAGGGCAGCTTGCACACAATTCAACTCCATATTGAACAATATTTAGGGCCTATATGCATGGGCGTCAATCCCCCCCCCCCCACACACACACACTTTTTGAAGGGTGGGGGACACAATATCAAATGTCCCCCCCCCCCCCGGATTTTTGAAATCGTGCCTCATTTACAGGGCCCTATTTTGTACTACAATGTATCTTTTGCTAAGAAAATTATGTTTAAAGTGGTCAGAAATTGCCTCAGATCGCACCACAGAGCATTTAGGATCCAAAATTTTTTGGAGCCCTTAGGCCCCGAACCCCACGCCTTTAGCTTAGAATATAATAGCTTATTCAATGACTTCAACCTCGAAAATGATTTTTTTTAATTATTATCTTTTGCTGGGAAAATATTGGTTAAAGTGGTCAGAAATTGCCTCAGAGCGCACCACAGAGCATCTAGAATCATTTTTTGGGGGGCCTTAAGCGGGCCCCGAACCCCACGCCTTTAGCTGAAAATATAATAGCTTATTCAATGACTTCAACCTCGAAAAAGACGTTTAAACATTATCTTTCGCATACAAAATATTGCTTAAAGTGGTCAGAAATTGCCTCAGACCACACCACATGAGCATCTAGAATCCGAATTTTTTAACCCCACGCTGTAAGGGCTTAGCACTTCGCGCTCGCATTATTTCTGATCAAGGTATGTCCCCCCCCCCCCCTCCCCCACTTTTGAGAAGCGATTGACACCCCTGCCTATATGTGAAACTTGAAATTACTTACCGATTTCGGGCGTCATTGCTGAGGGGAGAAAAAGAAGATAAACATATTAAAAGTTTTTGTTTTGTTTCTGTGAGTTCACTTCAGACAAGACAAATTGGAAGTTGTTTTGCGCTTTGTTTATGTATGTATCGTACAACATGAAGCAGAAGTGCGTAGCACTGTAGATAAGTATATATGATGAAAATAAGTTCAAGCAGTGCCCATCGGGAATTTTGTAGCTGAATTTTCGGCCCTACTAGGCCTTCATCGGAGCAGGAGTCCGATGGAGTCAAACCGCCAGTCCAGCTCTGATAAAGGTCTATAGTAAGGCCGAAAATTCAGCTACAAAATTCCCGGTGAGCACTGCTTGAACTTATTTTCATCATATATGTATATGTATCTGCTCTGTGTGTCAGCTGCAGAGCAGGCCCCGAGGTAAAATACGCCAATTTGAAAACCAATACATGAACATATTGTATTCAGTGAAAGGGAAAATGGTAATATCTTGCGTACACTTTCAAACATAGAAATGCTTACCTGCTCTTTCACGTGCAGTCGGCTGAGCTGTGAGACGGATGGAAAAATGTAAATAAGAAAAAGGAAAAAAAGAGTGTTCAGCGTAATAATTCGAATTTTCAAAACGTGCTTCTGATACAATACGATCTTACAGTCTCTTCAGTCTCAACCATTAACAAATTCCTTCAAGTTTATTTAAACAAATGAGTTACCTTTATGTTTAAAATAAGTCATCCTGAGATATCTAGCGGATGAAAGTCTATCATGCATACATTACGCAGAGAACACCAAGTTTTGGTGCTGCAGCATGCCACCAGCACAACAATGCACAGTTCAAAGGTGAAGATGTATTTTTTTTTTCGATTCAAGGAACAAAAATACCATGAATCTGAGGCTGGTTATTAAAGAAACCATCCCGTTGAAATTTTAGCTCAGTGCTAGATATTTGAGAAAACTATGAAAATACATCTCCATTATTTCCGTTGAAATCTTCAAAACCGGTTCATTTACGCTCTCAAGACATGTATACAAATTTGGTTGGTTAATTTTTGGTTAAACTTTTTAAACAAGTAAGTTGTACACATTACCCAACGTTGGTTAAATTTGGTTATATTTAATCAACGTTGGGTAAAATGACTAAGTTTTACCAACCGTTGGTTACCAGGTAAACCACACAACAGTTGGTTAAACAATTTGGTAAAAAAAATAACCGATTTTTAACCCAACGTTGGGTAAAATGTACCCAACTTTGGTCAAACTGGAGAAATGTTCACATTGTTGGTTAAAATTTTGATAAACTGTTGTTTTACTAACAAAATGTTAAAACATGTTTCGAGAGTACAGTACATTTTGACTTGAACGCTCTTGTTATGGAATGATCCCAAGTTTTCATTCACGGATTATGTAACCGATTGAAAATTCGGTCAATTTCAGGCAGTATTTTAAATATAATTTTATATACGTATATTTACTTAATACCCATGCACTTACAACTCAAGAAAATGACCGGAAATAACACCCCTCCAACCAATAGCACCACCACGACGACAGCAAGTATGAAACACAAGATGACGCGCTTGACTCTCTCCTCCGGCGATAAGCCACGCCTCTTGTAGTGCATGGCGTCTCTTCTCGGCGGCCCTATGTGACCCCAATCATGCAATGGCATGTCGATGACATCTTCCTCCACTCCAAAACGAGGCCAGTGATGGAACCTGCGGGTTCCTGGCAGGCCTTTGGGGCCATTGAACTCGTAGACGATATCCGCACCTGGGTTGCGCTGTGTAATCACAACGAAGATAATAATAATTAGCCTCGTCATTAGAACCAATGTGTTTGTCATCCGGGGACGGTACTCAACAAAACTATAGACTAAATGCCTTTTTTTCAAACCGAATATTCGAATATGGTGGCCATTTTGATGTTTCGGTATAGTTTTTGGTGTTCATGTACATGAACAAAGTACAACGGTATACATTTGATAAATTAAGGCAACATTTCTACAGTGGCCCTTTTGTTTTAAAACGGCCGCTATTTTATACAAATGTTGGCATGTCTTTGCACATAAAGATATATTTTTAAGTATTCTGTTTTGCACAAAAATTAATTCAAAATGCCGTTGATGTAGGAGTTACCGTCAGTATGGTTTTTGTGATTATGAACAAAGTACAACAGTACTTTTGATAAATCAGTCAACGGCGAGATACAATCATGATAGTTTTATATTGAGGGCAATATAAAATTAGTGCCTGCTGTATAGAATGTATTGCCCATACTAAATATTTAAAAATGGTTCATGCCACTCTAGCTTTGAAAAATATACGCCACTTGACCTAACAGATGAGTAAATAAATTAAAAATTTGTTTGGAGCCAATAAAACTCATCAGGCTGGCGTATGACTCTGGTTTCCGCGGCATTAAACGATGAGAACATTTCTTTTCCCCCGTCTTGGGAAATCGCAGGTTACTCCCAAGTTACTGCTGGCTCCCAATGATACTGCTGCGTACAGATCATTGGTCTGGTAAGGCTTGGCTAAATATCGACCGCAATTTACCGTTTCTCCTTAATTTGTAACCCACAAATTCCCTCACCGACCCAATGTATGAAAACTATATTAGCCTTAAAGGGGAAAATTCCACAGTCCCCTTTTCAACTTTCAACTATCCCCCGCCACTTCACTAGATGCTCGTTACTAGCATTTGATTCCGCGCAAAACCGATCAATGCCGATTCAAAACAGGCTGCTATGACAAGTTGAGTTGGAAACTACTTATTAATTAAATTAAATTCTGTTACAAATATTCCGTCTCAAATTAATTCAAATTGCTGTCATTGATCTTAAATATCAGATCGCGCATATCACCAGTTGTGCTCGAACTTTTCAATAGCGTCACCTTTTCCACACGATCGGGACTTTTCCCGTTTGAGTACGACCATAACCACCTTTATCTCGAACATTAACAGTGCATGAAAGAAAAATGTTGTCTTACCACTATCCACGGCGGTGTATTTCGAAACATGGCGATGGTATCTTATCCGACAAGACCACTTTGGATCTCGTTGTGTTTGAGTGGTACCCTTCTACTTCATAATCAGAACGCATCACTGACAACTAAACACGGCGTACACTAATAGTTAGGCCTAACCAAAATTGATCGCTTGCATGGTCACGGGTACGCACGAGTGATCCTCTATCCAGCCAACTATTGACGACCAGGCAGCAAAAAGGGCGTATTGGTTCAGTGACATTTAGCATGGCTAACAATATAGTTGGACATCAGTACTGGGTGAGTCAAAAAGAAAGTGACCCGGATTGGTGATTTATTCCCTTAGAAAGCAATTAAATTTGAAACACCAACGAAGCATATATTAACCCTAAAGGGGCCGGGTTATTTTTACCATCTCTCAGCCGGGGGGGGGGGGGGCAGATTCTGCCCCCCCCCCTAAGATCTCGGCCATCGAGTGATGAAAAATTTTGAAACTCAGTACATGCATAGAGCAACTCTTCCTAAACATACCCAGGAAATTTCATGACTTAAGGTCAAAGGGTTTTGGAATTATGGCTAGTATAGTTATACCTGCATACGCGAACCATATCTTCGGGCTTGAAATCTACAAGGAAAAACGGACGGCATCGACAGTCATTGTCGTCACTTCAATACCCTTTGTAAGATTCTTTATTGTCTATGTAGCCTACAGGTCGACCCTCCTTTTGAGAGGACAGTTGTAGGCATATCTGTCTATACAGAAAATAATGATACTTTTGGTACTACTCCAGCTGCCTAGATTTGAAAGACTCCCAATGGGAGACTTTTGAAACGTTGGTGGCAGCAAACACACCGGTCCTTTTTCAAACGTTATCGTTCGCTCGTACCCCCGCCATGCAAACAGGACGCTGGGATGGGCTGATGAATGTACGCTCTGATTGGATGGATTTTGCGTGACCTGTGACCTGCAAGTCATCACGGCCACGACTCTGCAAGGTTTAAACGGACGTTAAGCTAGAGTCATCACTCTTTTATTCCCATTCATAAATGCTTTTTCGTTGAAATGCGTAATGTAGGAAAATCTGCAAAAATTATCGGTTTTGTAAATTTTCAATTCACGTCATTAAATGACGTGAATTGAGAAAGCGGTCCAATTTTTTTCCTTCGTTCGTTACATTTGCCTGAGCAAATTTTGCTCAGGCAAATGTAACGAACGAAGGAAAAAAATTGGACCGCTTTCTCAGAAAAATTATCCATGTTCAGGTGTGATGGTGGGGGGGGGGCGGGGGGCGGGGGGGGGGTAGTCAAGCTGACCTACACCTCGGGACCAGTAATTCCCACTACTTCCCCTCAAACTAAGCTGTATTGGTATACTGCCTGCCAAATACCACGAGAGTCAAACTGATATGCATTTACTACTATTTTCTGATACCAAAAATCACTCAACGTTAAGCTAGATATTGAAGTATTGATCGACAAGCACATAGCATATGTAGCAGTTTATTAAGATCGGTTCCTGAATCACGATTTTATTATTTAATCATAAAATTATAATGTAAACTGTACCTGACACTCAGAAATGTTAACCTGTATTATGGCAGGCAGTGGACTGACGCCAATTGGCACTGTGAACTTGTAGTTCATGTCACAGTAATAATTAGCCGATTCCAATTAGTTTACCAAAAGACCTTTGACAAAAAGTACATGAGTTTACCTGACAATTAGAAACACAACTGCTTCATTTGGAAATTGGTTAACCTCTCTGTTTAAATAACCGTTCCATTTATCAACTATATTATATATTATTATACGTGTACTCAGATCTTGTAAAGTTATGCAGATATTGGGGTATATTTTGTTTGGTCTTTGCATCTCCAGTAATACAGTACATGTAAAATAAACACACTGTTGGTGACCTATTACATCATGCTCCAAGAGAGTCATTTTTCTATTTCAGTCAGGAATATAAACGAAATTTGTCTGATTGATGAAAACAATGAATATTTAACTAATATAGTGATCGATCCAAACAATGTCGCGTCCGCCATTTTGACCCGTAGGATTTGTACGGAGATCTGAACATTTTCTGGTTTAAATGTCTCAGGCAAAATATACTGGGAAATGGGAAAGTGCTTTGTGGCTGACTGTAGTTATCACTCAGAACGTTACGGGTGCATTTTTTTTTTAACCGATGAAAAGCTGGGGCCGTATCGTAAGTTTGACGCCTTAGGTCCGACGCCTCGTGAGTCCTAAATTTCGGACTTATGAGGCGTCGGACTTATGAGGCATAAATTCCGCCTCATAGGTCCGACGCCTCATAAGTTCGACAATGGACAAATGCTGTTTCGGACTTACGAGGCGTTGGAGCTATTAGGCGTCGGACTTATGCGGCGTCGGACTTATGCAGCGTCGGACCTACGAGGCGGAATTTATAATCATAAGTCCGACGCCTCATATTAAGTCCGAAATTTCGAACTTATGAGGCGTCGGACTTATGAGTGGACCCCGAAAACTGTTGAAAAAGTGGGCACCTTGCCTATCGCAACGTTATGATGTGTGTGTTTGGCCATATCACACCGGACAAGGCGTGACCTAGGCGGTGTATGACGTAACCACTTCTACAGCGTATTATAATCAACATGAAATTATAAACAGCCCTGACATTTATTTCACAGATCCGTTTTAATTGGCAACTTTAGCCACAGTTGAAATGGTTTATTGTACAGCATTTTAAATTGAATGACAGGCAACCGAAACTTCATCCGAAGATTTGCGAACACGTGTTCGTTGCAAGTCGGAAAGGTTCGTGATAGCTCAGTTGATTCCTCATCTGTTAATCAGGTCCACGGTAAGTTCAATGACGCGAACGAAGATGTTTACGATCAGAAGGGGGGAAAATGAAAGAACTTTGTGAAGGGCAGTGTACCCACTAACATCCCAATAATGTAATTAGTCCCTGACTGCAATCATCTGAAAAGCATTTTTTTAATCAATTTCTAAACTAGTTTCTAACACACGCATCACTCAAAAAAACGGTACGCCTCGAAATTTGAGGCAACTTACGGCGCCCCAAGGATATACAGTATAAAAGTGCCGTATCCTTCGTGCAATATGTCCTTGCTGCAATGAATCCTTGATTAGTGCCGTATCCTTTTGACCTTTTTTTTCTCTGAAAATCGTAAAATGAATTGTAAGGTTTCCTCTTTCCTGTATCACCATGCCTTAGATAGGTTAATGCATTGGTCGATTAATAATCACCTCGTATTGGATCCTTCCAAAATAGGGCGTCACTAGAGGGGGTCAGATGAACCCTTATCCTGCACGAGAGCTCACTAAATTACAAAGAGTGAAACTGTGTAGGGGCTAGACGACCTATAGAGTGAAAATCACTCTATATACTTGGTATATTGAAATACTCTAAAAAAAAATAAAAAAAAAATTCAATCCAGTTAAAACTAAATTCTCAATCTATAGTCAACGGAACGAATTTCATTCTTAGAGCTATAGTCCATCATTTGCAGCCATCCGAAAGAGTAACTGGCGTATTATTGTTGAAAAACATACTTGGTTGAAAGATAGTAAGTGGACTAAACTCCCTGTGAAATTAATCTTTCTGGCAAGCTGTCATTTTGAAGTAATCAACGAAAGAAGGCCTTTCCAACGGTGCGTCTTAAGACGCACCGTAGGAAAATTTAAATTAGTAGTTCGTTTTGTTATTCGGCGAAGCGCGCGCAAGCATTGGCACGATGCACAGGCGCGCGCGGTTGCTATAATTCGTCGGATCAGTGCGCGACATCGCGTATAGCTGCAATTCAAAACAATTCAAAACATGATTCAGCAACTTTTGATTTGAAATTGAGATCATAGAATGCTGTTTTTCTCGGAATATACAGCTGAAACTGAGCTGAAACTTCATCAGGTTAGTTGTTCAGTATCCTTCATTAGATTTTGAACTCTTTTATTGCTTCAAACGAACAAAATGCACGAATTACAAATGATGGACTATATCTTTAAGCATCTGGTCCCAATAGTTTCAATGGATGGGAGTGTATTTTCACTACTCGAATAAAGTGTATTTCCGACTCTTTGTAGATAATATGAGTATGAAGACGTTATTTAGCACTTTAGTATCACCGTCTACGATCTAGCAAGCAAAATCGATACCCCCAGCTAGGACAAACATATTTTCTTAAACGCCCTTTCCGTTTTGTTACTGATATTTTAAATTATAAGGGTCTTTGAAATTGTTCATGTGTTGTGTCTATCGTTGGTGACGCAAGTAATTTTAGATTGTTTATATTATTTTGAACTTGTTTATATTATTTAACGTTGTCATGCTAGTTCTGTTTTTATTATTTATTTTTTGTTTAGCTTTCCACATTTTTTAAAATTGAATTGTTTTTAATTGCTCATAAAACACACACTTAATTTGACTTGAGAAATGATATCTTCATCTTTATTATCTGGCAAAGAGCCCTCTACTCAGCCCTGCCCCTGAATTAAAATCTAAGGAAGCTTTAGAAAAAAAAGGTCGAGAAATCCATGCTGCTGAGGCATTATTAAAGGTAATTAATGCAAACCCCCGGGTGTATGAGGAAAAACAAAACAAAACAACCGGTGTGCGCGGCCGTGAAACCGAAGTGCATATTCCCTCGATATCTTCTTAAAAGCATAAGAATCCAAATCCTATTTTTTAGGGGGTGTGTTCCTTAGCTTTTCAAATTACTGAGGGCCCTTTGTGGTAATTTCCGCTGCAGAGGTTTAGTCCCGGTCCCTCAGTGTAACGTACGCCTCAAACAAACGCCTTGTTCAAACAAAAAAAGGGCACTTCTTAAACAAGGGGTACTCTTTGCAAAATATTGGGGGGGGGGGGTAAACGCTGGGGAAAAGGGGCATTTGAATGGAAAAGGGCAGTCTTAAAAAATATTTTGGGGGGGGGGGTCAATACCCCCTTACCCCCCCCCCCCCCGTACCTCCCTTATGGAAATGTATAATTTTTGACTTGTGTCGACTTTTTGACTCAAAAGTACGTGTGAATGGAAATACCGCAAGTACATTTTAAGACCGTAT